AAAATTAGTTAATATAATTAATAATGTAATATGATTAACAATTAATAATGCTACTTACCGTTGCAAGGAGGCTGTGAACAAAGTGGTCTTATCTGTTCACAGTGTTTACCGGCGCGATCTGAAGGACAATGACAGTAATAACTGCCCGGCGTGTTCAAGCAGCGGCCTTGTAAGCATGGAGATGGAGTGCAGTGATCTTTGGCTTCCTAGAATAAAAATATCAATTTTAAAGATTTGTAATTAATTTTGAGTACAAAAATTTTCATTTCGTGTGGGAAAGATATTTTGACGGCTAAAGTTTATACAAATAAACTGATAACAGTCAGACTATCTGTAAAAATACTTGGAAAAGCTCATTTTCAGCAAGAATAATGTGAGTGAGTTTGTTGAAGTGGATTTACATTGGTTATAGAATTTATGTATCCCCAGGTAAAAGAAGTGACTTTCACCTTCCATACTGCAATAGATTTTAGACACATTGGTATTTATTCTCCTACTATGCTGCAATTAATTTGTTATAAATTGTTATAAAATAACAATACCAGGTAATCTAAACTACTTCTTTTATAAAGATAGACTAAGTAACAAAATATAAATATAGTAATATAAGTTAGAACTTTAATATAGTTAAGTCCAGGAATATTTCATAGAATAGTCTATCTTTAAATGTACGGAATATAAACTTTATTTTCTAAAATTTTTAATGAAAGTGCTCAGTTCAACAGCTATTTAAAATGTTATGATAATTATCATAAATATAATTAATCTTTATGCCCACAAGAATTCAATTGGATCATTGAAAGGCCAAAGTACCAAAGTATTATTTGTGATAGACAAGGGTAGCAAATTTATGATTTGTATATTTACACAGACATTACCATTACGCAGTACAACGATATCAGTTTAAAATTAGATTTTTGAATTAAATTTAGAATAAATGCACAAGTATGGAAATATAAATTAACATATGTTAACTGGCAAACTGAAGCCAACATAAGCAATATAAAACGAAATTCTCTAAAAAGTTACTAGATGAGAAACGAATAGTTCAAACAAATGAATATAATTACTCAGATACTCAGAACCTTATAAGTCCATAAAAAATCATATGTATTTGTTTAAACAAATCATACAAAACTGAATTAAAAATTTTTAAAAATAATTTTAATGAACTTTTTATATAAAGTACATAAATCTAATTATTACGACTGATTGTCAAGTCATTTTGAAAATAAAATATTTCATTAAAGGATATTAAATAGAAAATTATTTTAAATAATAATAACCATTTTTTTGTTAATTATTTTAAACTATAAATTAAAAAATTTTGAATATCATTTTTATCCCTTTTCATCAATGAAACGTTTTAAAAAATGATACAATCATTTCCTGTGCCTTCTTGGTGTCCACACAGCATTTCAGTTTAGTTTATCTCTAACTCATAATATTTTGTAGTCCAAAATAAATCTTAATTCATTCCTCCTGTGTCAAGTTTCAGTTTTAGCATTACAAAAACAAATAATAACAACAGCAACAATTTATGTATATAACACGTGAGAAAATCTCTAAATTGCCACAAATATTTTTTGCTTTTGTGTGGAGCCTCGTCTTTGGACTTAACATTTTGTATTTTATATTCTCATCACAACTGATTGCTCGTAATGCGATTAGTGTTAAAAGGTATTAAAGCATCGAACTCATGTGACAGATACATATGAACAAACCAGACGCTATACTATATTCACCTTTAAAAGGTACATAACATATAACAGATACAGATACAGCAACCAAAAACAACAACAGAAACAACAACAACAACTGCACTGAAAGTGACAAATACCCGCGGCTACTAAACGTTTCTTTCTACAGTTTTTATGTTTGGCATTGAACTTTTTCATTCGATTTAATCTGCCGCAGCGTAGCTACGAGTACGCGTGAAAGAAGTCGAAGAAGTAGATTATGAACTTCTTCCTACCAGTCAATAACTAATTTTTTCTCCCAATCTCGTTTCTGTCCCTAATTTAATTTTAAAGGCAAAAAGCAACACACAAATGTTGTATGGGGCAACCGCGTAAATGAAATATTGAAAAATCTTAGATTTTAGGTTTTTAGGTGAACTGATTGGTCATCATCCTCATCAGTGTCATCGACTTAGGTAGTTTATTTTCTTTATTATCATTTTATTGTAGTAATTTTTTTCCAATCAAAACTGAAATATGCTTTTTTACGTCAATCGATTTAATTTAAAAAAAAAATGCATTCTGACTTAGAAAATTATAAAATATTTACTGTTGGCAGCTTTTACCATTCATTTAGTATCTATACACTGAGGTTGTTATTGTATTCTTGTTCTTAATACAAAATTTTCTTTTTATTATAATTTAAAGAACTTCATCAATGCTTTGTTTTCACGAAAGGTGTTGAAAAGTAAAGCGATTGTAGCAATCAAATGATTTAAGAAACGAACTTAACTCTTCAGGGCATGCATTGAGAAAAATCTAAGATTGCGTACCACACGTGGTGAGGTTCTATAAAAAATTAAATAATGTGTGTTTCTGACATGCATAAAGAAGACAAGTTATTACTGTTATATTATATATAGAATGTTTGTAAAAAAATATGAAAAGTTGTTAATAAAGAAGCAATTATAATAAGAATTATAATAATGGCAATGAAAAAAATATGTAATAAAGTGTAAACCTTATGTTATTATATCAATTCTGAGATATTGTAAACGAAAATATTTATTTTCAAAATGTAACTTATAAAACGATAATCCTTTTAAAGCAAAATCATAGTTAAATGAATAACAATAATGTTTAATATATCCTTTTAATGATAAAAAATTGATAAGCAAAACATTTCAGTAAATAATATTTTTTAAAAATAATTTAATAATTAAAACAATTGAACTTACCTCACATAAGGAACCCAGATATCCCAACGGACAAATGCACTTGAATTTGCCAATTAAATCTACGCACTCTCCGCCGTTACGACAAGGTGAATTCGCACACTCATCGATGTCAGTTTCACAATCGCGACCTAAAAATAACAAGAAAAAAAAAACAAAAAATAGAGCTCAGAACTGAAGCAATTAATACACGAAAAAGATTAACTGTTCCAGATTTAAAAGTATTTAAAAAATATTTAAAGACATAATAAAAAATAAAAAAATAAAAAACTCAAAAATACAAAAGATAAAAAGGTTCAACTTACCGGTATAACCATTTGTGCATGCGCAATGATAATCGTTCACTAAATCGATGCAAGTAGCACCATTCTTACACTGTCCCACGCAATCATCCAAATTCTTAGCGCATGTTGGACCACCCCAGCCCTCTAAGCAAACGCATGAGAACGAACCAGGTAGATTTATGCATTTGCGTGCATTAATGCAGGGACCCAGTGTAGTTGCTGTAGCTGCGACTGCTGCTGCTAATCCAGTTGCAATTGTCGACTTTGATGCCGATGCTGATGCTGATGCTGATGATGACAATGACGAAGAAACTGAAGTAGATGTTTTTGTGGATAATGATGATGCAGCAGTTAAGGCAGCTATGAAAGCCAAAGACGATGTTGTTGTGGTTTGTACGGTGGGAATAGCGTACGCAGTCTCGCATTCATTTACATCCATTTGACACACATCACCGGTCCACTCTGGAGGACATTCGCAGCGGAAACCACCGATTAGATCAATGCAAGTGCCACCATGTTCGCAGGGACCGCCAGCACATTCGTCGATATCTACAAGGGATAAACGATATGTGCATTAAAATTAAAACAAATAAACTTAAAGTTACAAAATGAGATTTTTTGTTTTTGATTAAGAAAAAGAGTAGGAAAACTTAATTCATTTGTGTATTTTCTTGCTCCATCAAGACAAGTTGAAGTGGAGCAGTTAAAAGTGCTTGAATGCAAATGTAAACATGTAGCTTTCAACTTGTAAGTGACATTTTTATCTGTGATTATAAATCAACGACAAGCTTACTAATCGTCAAGGAAATATTTAACTACGTTCATAATTTTCAAACAATTTTATATAATCTTTAAATACAAATTACAAGACTGCGATTTATTTAAAATAACTCTTTAGGAACATATTAAGCTTGATTTATTGAAAAATTCCTTTTTCGGAAAATCCATTCATGTTTGTACTTTCAAGAATTTTGACTTTTGCGGTACCATTTTTGGTAACATCTTGCGCGAAAGACAGTACTTTATGCCATTAGTGATGAATGTGGTAATTTCTGTCCCAGATCAACAAACCATCGAACAGGTTTCGAAATAAACATTGAATGAGAAAAAAACAAATCTTCCAAGCTAACTTACATAAAATATGAAATAAAAAATCTGTAAAAAGCAAATTATGAAGTAAAGCGAATCTTTAAATAATAACGAAAAGAGTATATTTGCAGAAATTATGATCGCATTTTACCGTAGCCATTTAAATTAACAAGTGCTTGGATGCAGAAAATACAGCGCTGCAACATCTCATTGATGCAAAATCCAAATTCTCAAACCTGAAAATCTTCCATGTGAATTTTGGATTTGGAAATATAATAAATTAACAAAACTAAATCGCACGAATTGAAAAGGCACTGAGCGAAAGTGAAAGGCGACGAAACAGCGGGATCCACTGCGATTTCAGACTTTCATATTTTAATATTTCTGGGCTTCTTAAACCATATCGCGAAATTTGTAACTGTAACAAGTTTCTATTCCTTCCTCAAAGCACAAATCCAATTGAAAATGCGTGCCTAATTTGTCCAAATTCGTTTCTAATTTGAAGCACATAAGGAAAAACGAAGGCATGGATTGATGAAATTTGATTCACAACAATGACGCCTGTCACTGAGATAAAAGCTGAAATTAATTGAAATGTTTGCACAGTTTTAAAAACCGAAGCTCTTAATAGATTCCCGATTTCTGCTCAAAGAGTGTAAATATTTTCTTATGTGAATTTGTGCTTCATTTGCTGGCCCATTTCAGTACTTTCAAATATTTAATCTTTTTAATTTTTATTTGCTTTTCAATTAAAAATTTGTGTTTTTGGAATAATATTGCACATGAGCATCGTACAAACACGCACCAACTCGCTTCATTTCACCTTTTGTTCATCATTGTTACTTAAATTTGTAAAGTATCTGATAAATAGGATTTCTGCTTCTCCTCTTCTTCTTTCTTGTTTGGTTGTTTGGTTGTTTGAATAATAAAATTGAATCTCTTGCACATTTGCAACATTTTAGTTTAAATATTTACTAAAGACTAAAAAGAGAATTGCAGCTTTTAAATTTCCAAAGATGCTGTATACGCAAGTGAAATCCACTTGCAGCATTACTTCCCCAGCTACTGCCTCCGCAGCTTGTCTATTACTAAAAAGTGAACACTTAACACCTTTCTGACAAGAAACTCATTTGTCAAAACAAAAAAAAACACTTAAAACAACCAAAAGATCTCAGATTTGATTTATAAGATTCCTGTGTGAACATCTTCAAAGCGAAAAAATTTACCATTCGGGTTTGTTAAGTGCGCACATAAGAAGCACCAAAAGTGATTCGTTGTCATAATTTTTGTTTTATATACTTTTGTAATTTTTAACTCTCAAGTAACATTACAAACTCAAGTTAATATTGTTTTTGTTTTCATAGTTGAGTTTTTTGTATTTTTAAACTAATTTGAGCGACAAATATCTTTAATCGTCAGCAATAAAAATGTTCACCTTTTCGTTTTTATTCATTGTCAACTTTTAGCTACGCAGAGACAACTCTTGTATGAATTTTATATTGCTGGTACTGTTCATCGGATTTTGTTGCTATACATTGATTTCCATCTAATGGCACTTAGTCATACTCTTAAGTTTTGGTAGAAATATTTATTCAGCTCTTTCAGGCTCAAAAAGTAGAACGCAGACATAAAGACGTTATTTAATGTTTGCGAAAAATTATGCATAGCTTAATACAGTTTAGTTATTTCAGCAGTTATAAGTTTCCTTAGATATATTGCTTACAAATCGTCGTGTAAAAACGGCAAGGCAAGACTCTTTTTCAAGATTTGGACTCCACTCACAGAGTGCCGCAAAATTGTCTCCGTAATTAGTGAATTTTTTATATTGTATTAATAAATGTTCTAATCATATATCATAACGTATACATTGACCTGGACGCCAGTTTTGTTTAAAATGCCACTACTCACAAGCTTTAAGTCATCTTAACGGAACCTTCCCGACGAATTTGTAAGGTTTGTTGTTTAAGTCTTTTGATATAGGCCGATTATTTTTTATAGTTCTGGCATAGCAAGTATGAAATAAAAAAAACGAATAAAAGAACAAAGAACTTTGAAGTAAATCTAGTATATATTATTTGAAAAAAGTTTTTTCAAATATTTATTTACAAAATGTTCAAAGTGTGTAAGGTATGTAGTGACATCTATACATTACAACTACAGCTACATTACCCTTCACCAGACATAAAAATTTGTAAAGCATCGTTGAAGATTAAGTAATAAAATATCTGGAGCTAATATCAGGTATGTAAACCACTAAAGATGACAAAAAATTGAGAAAAAATGATTTCGCTAGCGCAGCGATATATAAATACATTAACCATGATAAATTATTTCCATTAACTTTATATAATGCGTTATCGTTTAACTTCAGTAACAACTTTGCTTTAATTTGTCTGTTCTAAATGTTGTGTGAATTCTAGTGTCTTTTATGAACTTCTTAGTTATAATCTAAGACTAGTCTAGAATATAACCAAATTAGTTATAAAGAGGTTTTTTCGAACAGTACTAAACTACAAGAACAAAAATTTATTTTATATTATTTTAATTAATTGAATTTTTAGCTGACCATACAGCTGTTTCGAGTGTTGTCAAATACCTATCATCAGTGGTCCTGGAAATAATTCTTATATTTAATTATTCGTAAATAAATTTTTGACACTGAAGGATAGAACTCTCGTATCATGCCAAATTTGAAACTCAGAGTCAGTACACCTTAATCAACTGACCCAAAGTTATATTTATTTATATTATCAGTAATTGGTGGTTACTTAATTGTGAACCATTTTACCCATCACCATTGAATGAAAGGGAGACTGTCACAGGTAGACTAAGTGGTATATGCAGTAAAAATGGAGTGATAGATCCCCCTCCTCCCTTTTAACCAACAAACTCTAAATTTACTTGTAAATTTACGTCCGCTTGAGTCAATTCAATATATATATATACACATACATATATATATACATTAAAATAAGTGAACTATAGGAGCTAAGGTAGGTCCTATAGTATACAAGATAACATCGGCTTTGATTCAAATTTATTCTTTTGGTTTTTTATATTATGTGTACAACTTCCTAAAATAGAAAACTAAGCAATTGCTTTAAACACTGCACAGCAATAGTCAAACTATAGATTGTAATGCACACAACAAAAATTTTAATAAAAAAATGTTTTCTGGTTCCTAGTGACACTTAAATTTTCTCAGGAACAAACTTAATTGTTTTTGACAACTTTTGATAGCAAAACAAGTGCCAATTTAGCACAAATGAAATATTTCGTAAATGCGAATTTGTTGCATGCAATTAAAATATTGCATCAAAATTAAATCAAAACTGCATCAAACAACTTTTCAAACTAAATTCTAAATTAAAACGAAATTTTTACATATTTTAAGTGGCAAACAACAAACTAATTTCAATTGCAAATGTTTGACTTGTTCGAAATGCAGTTTTAGTGAAAACGCTATTAACTTCAGATACTTTACAAATATTGCTACAAATGCTACACGGCGTATCTTTCAATCTATCAGCCGCGTAGCAGCAATTGCACAAGTTGCGTGTCGTTCGCCATTTCGCTTGTCTATTCATTATTCACTATTCACTCCACGATTCACGCAAACCCCGACTCGTACAAATCCGGTTCTACTTAAAACGAATTCGATTCCGCAGTTTGGATTCGGATTTGAAATGCAAAGCACAGAGCAGCGACGAAAAAATTGAATTGAAAATAATTGAAATAAATTAATTGTAAATATTGTAAAACTCACTTATTTCACATGACGGACCAGTCCAACCGGGCGCGCAGGCGCAAGTGTAGTCGGCGTGGTGATGGTGATGCATTTGCTGCTGCAACTGCATTAAGGCTGATGCGGAGGACGGATTGCTGCCTGCAACGTTTGGTATCAATTTCACTGCAGCAAGTGCAGCATTCAGAGTAGCGCTCGTGCCGTTCCGAGGCTGCAGCTCGTTACTCAGAGTTAGTGTTTTTGTCGTGGCCGTGTTAGTTGCAGCAAGTCCTGCTAGACCCAATAGTGAGCTGCGGCGGCTAACTGGTTTACCCATGGCGGAACTCATACCACGCATGGAACGATATGTCGGCAGTGCAGTTATGTTCAGCATCGCCGATTCCTATTCGCAACAGTAAGAAAGTAATTTTTAATTTGAGATATGAATTATGAAACGCTGGAGAGAATTCGAGTATTAGGATCGAGTGGTATGCATTGCATTAAGCATAAAACTCATATTAAAGGCTAATAAAGATTTATACAAGTGCGAGAATGGAATGTAAGTTAACGTGTGTAAATTGTTGTTTATGATTATTAAAAGCACCGTAAAAGATAATTTAATAATTTATTTATAGGCTTAATTGACTTGCAGCAAATCACGGATGCAGTCAAGGATACTGCATACATTCATTTCGCTACCTCAAAGATATTTCGATCTTAAAATTCTGATTTTTCTGATTTTTTCTTTATATTCGTTTTCGGTTTACTCACTTTTAATGTGCAAGTGCCACCATTTTTGCATGGTTGCGTTGCGCATGGATGCTCCACAATTTGGCAACGTTCGCCCGAGAGCCCCTCTGCGCAAGTGCAACGATATTGATCAGGTGCAGTGTTCTCACAGGTACCGCCATGCATGCAGGGTTCATGAGTGCCACAGTAATTTAAATCTGCAAAACGAAAAATGATCGATAAAATTGAAAAAATAAAGAAAAACAATTGAAAATTGCACAATGTGGAAATTGTTAAGTGCTCAGCAACAATAACAAATAATACAACAACATAGTAATAACAGCATCGGCAGCAGCAGCAGAAGCAGCAAAATATGATATATGAAATCGTGTTGCATATATGAACCTATCGGTCCATGTATCCTCATATTGCTGGCCGTTGTTGTTATTCTTAGAGCGATGCGATTCAGATTCAGATTCAGATTCGTGCAACTGCGCTCAATTTTGTATTCGATTTATTATAATTTTCGATTAACTTCAATAATTTGCAGCAAAATCTGTGCATCCAGTCTCTGCTTACCTTGATCACATAATATGCCTCCCCAGTTTGTGTCACAGACACATTTCCAGGCAACGCCATTGCACGATCCATGCTTGCAGCCAGGATATACGTTGCATTCGTTGCACAGTGGGCCACGCCAACCTGGCCGACATCTAAAAATTAAGTTGAAATAAAAATAAAATTAAAAATATAAAACAACAATAAATTTAATATAAGTGTGAAGAGAGAGGTGTTTCAGTATAATGAATGATTATATGAAGAAGATTTAAAGCTAATACAATAACAACAACAGAATTACCAACAGCAAAAACATGCCCTAATGACAATGAAAACAAAATTTCTTCGTGATTTCTGAATTTTTCCTAATCAACGAAAAAGTTGCCAAATGTGATTTGGTTTCTGGCGAAATCAAAGACTCTGCGCAATGGCATCCTTTCAAGAAACTCTTAGTTGTTGCATGACCCAGCCTGGAAGCCTGGGTGAGCTTCCTTAGCCATTGAATTTAATTGAAAATTGTGTTGTGACTTGTTAAACCGAAAAACTTTAAAAATGTTTTCGGCTGGCTAACGACAATGTCAAATTGGCAGAAAAATTTCACCTCCCAACTGAAAATGCTTCTAACTAATTTCCCTCTCAAAGCTGGTACCTTCAGTTGATTAGTGAGATTTGTGAGATTTGTAAGTGTGAACTCTTCAGTACAAACTTTAACTACAAACGTCGGTTTCAATGAAAAGTTCACTCAGTTTTTTTCTTATTGAAAATAAGTTTTATTTGCAGAAATAATTATAAAATACCAAAAGGGTTACATCGCTGCAATGCAAACTCCAACTTAAGGCTTCTATGTGACCAAAGCGAAAAGGAAGACCAACTGTAAAAAAATTAAAATATTTTCACAGCTCATAAGTTTGAGTTTGTAATTTGATTTCTCATTAAGTGATAAACAAAACGTAACTAAAAAATCAGTTTCACGCTTAAAATGACTTAAAAGCAAACAGCAAACACAAGTTTCTACTTAAATCTGTGAGCCGCGAAATCTTAACTTTGAGATGCTAACAAACCGAAACGCTGAACAATGGTAACTCGTCAATGGACACAATAGTCGGACGTCAATTCGGACTTGTGATCTCACTGTTCACTGTTCACCGTTCACCGTTCAGTGTTCGTCAACAAGAAAAGAGCAAATACAACTGTGAGGCTTGTTGCTTTGAAGATGCTGTAATTGAGTTTTCGTTCACAGACTCCATCTCAGACTCCGCACCGTGTCAAATACCGTATCAGCTAATTACCAGTGCGAACTCCCCACAAATACACCAAAAACGAACAGAAAAATTCATAATAAAATCAATAACCAAAGCAAACGTTTACTTTACTCATTGGCAGCTTTGTTAAGACAAATATTGATCAAAGTCAAAATTAGAACTAAAGTCTGTACGTACCACTACAGCGATGGCTAATTCCATTTAAACATATTCATAAACGAAAATTGTCCATGAATACGGTTGAGAAAGCACGAAAAAACTATTATACAGAATAACAAATATAAAACAATAACAAAAGACACAAGCCAAGTCAACGAAGACCAGTTCATTTGGTGATCGGGACACTGATACCGTATCAGCGCAGTTGGTTTCACTACAACTGCAACTGCAACTACAACTCAATTAATAACAAATTCTCAGAACAATAAAAATTCCACACACAAATTATAATGCAGCAAGTATTTGTTCGGAACGCTGAGGATTCGTCTTTCTGCAAACTTATAAGGAGAAATATAACACATAGAGGAATTAGCTTCTAAGCTCCTTGCAGCATTCGTGCCAATTACAGCATTGAGCAACCTTTGCCTTTTGCCTTGCAACTGATGAAAAGCAGAAAACGACAAATTTTTATCGGTGTTTGGCTTCACATCGAAATTAGCTGAACTCACTGATAAACCCAACCCGGATGAAGTCTCCCTGCGGCACCCAACTGCATTGGCTTACAATTAAAACGTGTTCCAAAGGTGCCAGAAAGCACAAAGGTGTCGTCGTTCCTGTTGCTGATACGAATTACATTACCACTTTGGATAACTCGATGGCACTTAAAGGTGTGATGACGTGAAGCACTTTTAAATTGTCTTGGCTATTAATTTTTAAAAACAAACTCAAATATCAGAAGAGATTAAAATTGAATAATAGCCAAATTAAGTTAATGGGAAAATACCGTTGCATCTGCAACAAGTGCCAACACTACAAATATACTTTTCATTACAAAGCACAGCACAAAGCTTGCGAATTCAGGCTGATAGGCACTAAAAGTTTCGTTGCAGCAAGTGCAGCACGAGAAAAACTGTATCTCATCAGCCACATATGAGACATGTCATTGAAGCTATTGCTGACAGTATATGCCGTGATAGAAAGTGGACAAGAAATCAGTTGGCTCAGTGCAGCGAAGGGGAAATATGAGAGAAGCGAAGCATGATTTATGATTTCATTAGGAAGGAAAAGTTTATCTGAAGACCAATCTAAGCAGCAGTGGTGTGCCTCGGAATATAGAGCCGCTCAGTGGATGTTCAAGCAGTCAACGCAGTCGAGACAATGTGCAAAACCTGAAGTAATCCATTTTCCAGTCTTTTATTTCATGGCACATAGCCCTGTTGAAGTTGATACAAAGCCTGAAACAATTCGCTGGTATCATTTACAAATTCTGGAGCAAGATCATTGCCATCGCGGCCAAGATCGGTATTCGTTTTGCCTTATTTTTGATTAGAGTCGTTCAAAAAGTCGTGAGGTTGGTGTTTTCTCTAAGACAGCGAGCAGAGTTTCAGGAGATTTTACTTCATAATTGAAATTTAAGTGGAATTGGATTGGAGGCAGAAGCAACAATTACATATTCAGCTGTACCTAGACTATTGGTTGACCTCACACGCATCTTTGCAATAAAAATTTATAAAACTAAAAAGGGTGATAGATATAAATATTCTCACAGCAACTTTATGATAATTAACAAATCTGCAATTGTATAGATTGATCTGTTCAATTATTGCAATAAAACTTAATCCAAATTAGTCATTTACTTAGTTCTACTTTTTTCGACTGTTTAAGGCCAAATAGAATAGCAGATCCAGTCGGAAAATCGTAAATTTGACCAAATTATGATTTACTCAAACCAAGACCGCAGTAAGTGAGTTGAGTTGGCTTTTATGGAGGAAAACTAGCAAAGAGACGAGATGAAAGTTTGAGGCAGGCGTAATACTAAGACATTGCAGCGTCTATCTATTCGAATTCTCAATGGTAGAATTTGTGGTTATCGTTCTAGTTTTTTTTTCAACAAAGAAATTTTATTGTTGTTGTAGTTGCGAACAACATTGAAATCACGTATTTTGTGTTACGCTTATTTCAACAAAAACTGAAACGTTTTTTCGTGCCTGAATCGAGTAGCAAAAATCAAAAAACCGCAAATGCAGAGCGGCAAATGTTGCATCGATACTGAGTCCGTTGGTGGTACGGTGGTACAGCTGAAGACTGAGGTACTGTTTTTGACGATTGAGACTGAGACACCGTATCTGAGACTGATACAAAGTCCGAGGGACATATGAAGGCGACTATTGTTGTTGCGGTTGTAAATTTTCTGTGCCAATTGTTGTTCGCCGAGATGATGAGTGGTTTGATGCAACTCCAGTACAGCGACTGAACTTAATTTAATGGCCATAAAAACAAAATTAAATGCTTCATTTTTTCCACGTTTTTTTCTTCTTTTGCTATTAATAGTAGAAAAGCTCCACCTGCTTCATTTTTTCCACGTTTTTTTCTTCTTTTGCTATTAATAGTAGAAAAGCTCCACCTCCCATAAAAATTATTACGAATTCTGCATCAAGAGGCAACTAAGACTGAAAAAATTGTATTGCAAATGTTTAACAACAAATCAAAATTGAATAGACAAAATTACAACCTAAAACAACATTTAATGAAAATTCCTAATCGTTAAATATGAGAAAATAAGTTAAAAAGTATCTTAAACGAGTTGCGGAAGATGAGGGAAGTGAGTGCAGTGAGGAAGTAAATCAGCTCCCGCTGTACATTGTTGCAGTTGTAGGTGCCACTAGGGTTGATGGCTTCGATAGATGCCCTCAGCGACTTTTGTTGCCACTGTACAAACAACGACAATTTGTTGGTTTAAGCAGCATTCGAAACAATGATTGCCGACGAACTGCAAAAACAACAAGACCATCAGGAACAAGCAATTGAACTGATCCAAAATTAATGGAAATGTTACCAATGCAATCGCCTCATTGTAGCAATTGTTGTTGCTTCTCAATGCTACTCAATATTGTTGTTGCCGTTTTTATTTGTTTCATTTCACAAATCGATTTCGAAAATGGTTTTTTCGACTATGAATCACATTTACTGATATGTGTATTTTATACATATGAAGATCGTGCTGCCATTTTTATGTTGTTTGTATCTGCAACAGTTGTGTTTATGTCAGCGATACAAGTTACAAGATTTCTATTTCTTTAGCATTCTGTGGCTATTTCCGATCAATTCGAAGTGATTTCTGCTGACACATTTCGTTGGTGGTGAATTAAAACATTTTATATGAAATTTGAAATTCATTTCAGCAACTTTCAATATATTAAAAGCAAATTCATATTTTAGGAGAAAAATTCCGCTACAGAAGACATTGTATAGACATTCATTCCATTAAACTAACCTTCCAAATAATGTTACAAGAGCGTAAATACGTAACTAAACTAAATAAACTTTTCTAACTTTGCTAAATAATTACTTAAACTTAGGTTTACTTACTCGCATTCACCAGGTCGATCGCATTTCCCATGTGTCGGGTCACAGCCTGGTTTGCAAATTGCCTCTTCACAGTTAACACCCTGCCAACCTTGCAGACAGAGCTTCTGACCCTCCGAACCGCAAGTGTAATGACCGAATTGATCATCGCGCGCTCGGCAGAACGTTGTGCATGTTGTATTGTAGTAAGTAACGGCGCATTGAACTCTGACCCGATATGTAATTCGGGCATTGGTACCGATGTGATCCAGAGTCTTCCATTCGGGCGATGGTAGTATTACACCTGAATATGATGCCTCTTCAATTAACCTCTCTGAATCTGTTTGCGTCGATTTTATGTAGTTGCCAATAGAGATTGCCATGACGACAGCGTTGACGATGATGATAACGATGACGATGACGATGTCGACATTGTTGATGTTTTGTGTAACAACGATCACGGTGGCATTTGTTGTAAGAAAATGTTGGAGTTGTTGTTCGAATTGTTGTAGTTAAGATATTGTTCAGAAAAATAACATCGTTGGCGTTCATGTTGTCAACAAGTTTAGTTACACAAAGTAGTCAAATGGGTTGGAAGCAGTTGAAAAAGTCCACAAGCAAGGAAACGAAATCAAATAAAACAGAAAAATATAAAAAAATATGTTAAGTTTATTTTTATTTAAATTATTCTAAGCTGAAATGTCACCAACTACGAGTTGGTTTAATTAAAGACAGTAGCTAATGTAGCCGCCGTTTTGGGTCAGCAATTCAGGTTCACATTTGTTACTGTCTCTGCTCGTTTCAAATCGAATTACCTGGATAAGACTTGTTGTACATATCCAACGCCTGCAGTATCAGCGTAAATGACTTCTGAAATTAAAAAAAAGAAAAAACTCATTAGAAAATGTAAAAAATCTAATTTAACTGCAAATAGCAAACGTATTTGTGTCGCTGTCATGTACAGTGGACTTCTGTTTATAATGAAATAACTGAAAATAAAGATCCTGAAAAGGGTTCAGAGAGCATTTGTGCGATTTGATATTTGCAAAGAAGAAAACATTTTTTATTTTGACAAATTTGTACAAAACCATTTTACAAATTTTATTGCACAAAACTCATTTGAAGTTGCGGGAAATACAAAGCCAATTGTCACAGTCCGTTTACACCCAATCAAGTCGCGAAGTTCTGTTTATCTGTGCACTCTAATGAATCTCAAAGATCTCAATCTTGCATAATAAAGATTAAAGTAATCGAAGCGACTGTTGTAATAAAAACTAACGTCAACTCTATTTAAATGTCAAGTGATTTTTAAGCAACTTCACAGCGCCTTTCCAAAAGGGAAATTTTGCAATTAAAATATTCGCTACTAATTTCTAATCTAATCCGAACAACCGTAACTGTGAATCCAAATTGCAATAGCCACGTCTGTTCCTTGTTTAATGGGTCTGGATGTTTAATTTATGGCAGTTCATGGTGTGGAAACATGCATAAGCAACGCTTCAAGAAACTCAAATATATTTACGCGATCAGTTTTATCGCAACGATAACAAACCAACAAACCAACAAGCAACAACCAACAGACAGCAGACAGCAGCAACATGAAGCCGATCGCGTTGATCATAATGATTTTGTTGTTGGGCGATGTTTTTCTTCTCATTTCAAATAACTTTCAGTACATCTACAATATCAACTACTACAACTACTACAACAACATCAGCGGTAACAATAATGTAAATTGCTATCATACGTAATGACTTACAGAGCCAAGAACTGAAAAAGCATAAAAATTCGGCTTACTGCACACGAAGATTGTGCACCACGAAAGCAATTAAGTTCGAATGTTGCTGCGCGGCTGGAAGTCAGGAAATTCTTATTGAAGACAATCTTAAGTCTTCGGCAATGTCCAATGTCTACTAAATCAGGTTACGCAGTGCTCCAACGTGAGATTACCACTGAAACGGTTGGAAACGAATAGGATTTACAGAATAATGTATTGGACAAGTGCAACGAGTACATAAAGAATTCTTAAGGAACTTTCATGAGGCTGAACTCAGTTATGAATGCTCGGTTATGTTATGGAAGAGGCAAACAAGAGGGAGGGGGGAGGAGGGAGGAGGGGGATGCAATTGAAGAAGTCCGCACTGATCGCTTGTTTATGGTAGTGATCACATTACTTAAGCTGATTTTTCTTTTTGCCAATTTGTACATTTTACGATTTTCAATTTAATTTTGTACACAAATACACGCGTTGACATGAACAGCGGGATTCCAATATCATTTCCCTCACTCTCGCGGTACTTAAATATTCAAAATTATGTAGCCAAGCGGATTGCATCAATCGGCAATTAAATTAGTTACGATTATGATCATGCCACGCTAAGCACTTTAGTTGTAATTTTTTTTTATTTATTTTTTTAAAAAAAAGGTCTTATTTTGCATATTCGAAAGCGTCATAAATCAAGTACACATTCGTGCGTCTCTCCATCTTCTGTTCAATTCGTATCTGTATCTCTATCTGTCTATCTATCTGTATCCGTATCTGGAACTGCGACTTTTTGTGCTGTATCACATTCAATTGTACCTAAGACTTCGTATGAGTGCCTTTGTCAATTTGCCTGTTTAGGTCATTTGGTCAATTGAAGTTGTTGAATTCGTTGTGTCTCATTGAAAATCAAATTTGTCTTGCTTTGCTCC